ACGCACTGCCTCACCACACTCCCAATGGGGCCAAGCAATCAGAGGCTCACACCTTCCAAACTGTGAGCCAGAATAAGCCTTCCTTCCTTATAACTGCGTATTTCGCCACAGGAATGAAAAACTGGCTAACACTTCTATATACTCTGTTTTGAAAAACGACCTTGTTATGATACTGCATACTAATAGTCCAGCTACTTGAAAAGCTGAGGAAGGAAGATCACCTGAGCCCATGAATTTGAGACCAGCCTGGGCAACATAATCAGATCCCATCTCAAAAACAAAACACACACAAATAATGGAAATATAATTTCTTCCATTATTATAAGCCACATAATCATATAAAATGCAGTAGTGTTACAGGCAGCTGAGTTAGATAGAAATATTACAGGCAGTCAGACAGGGCCAGGCCATTGAAGGAGCCAGTATGGAAGACAAGATACCTTCCAAATGGAAAGGTGGTACTTGCTTCAGGCCAGACCTCAAGACTAAAGATTAAACAAACACACCCTCTTACCTCCCAAGGGATGGACCTCAGGGATTGACATTCTAAATAGGTAGCGATCACCTTGAAGAGTCCTTGACCCAACCCCTTACAGGAAAAGCCCCTGTTCTGTATTCATGCCTGCTTGCTATGTGACTACTTCCCCTTTGATCCCAATTTAATCAACTGTACCTGAACAATTCTTATTGGCTGACCATAGTTTTGTCCATTTTCCCCTACTTTGGACCCGCCTCACCTCCTGGTTTTGCTCTATAAAAGTCCCTAGAAAAGACAGAGTCTTGGGTAACCCACTCGGGCCCCCCTTCTGTCCTTCTCTTGGACAGAAGCTTTCTTTCCCTCAATAAATATATTCTGCTCTTAACCTCCATTGTTCCTGAAATTCATTCTTCGATTTTAGAGAACACGAACTCATCCCAAATATCATTCAGGTTGGGAGTTTTTATTTTCCTGCATCAGTAGCATTTAATCATAATGACATCAAGATCTAGGGAATAAGACAGAGAGTACCAAAAAAGGATATTTTACAATATTTAAGTCTAAGTAAATGAAAATCATTAGACTGTACTATTTTATAAAATGAGTTTTAAAAGAGAAATAACTTCCATATATGTAATATAATCTTAGGGCTACTTTCTCAAACAGAATACATCACTCAGCAAGTGTGTACTTGTAACCTGTACTTTACATGTTTTTTTTGTTTTGTTTTGTTTTTGTTGCTGTTACAGAATACCTGAGACTGGGTAATCTATACTGAACAGAAATGTACTGGTTCATGGTTTTGGAAACTGGAAAGTCTAAGACCAAGAAATCAGCACCTGGCAAGGGCCTTCTTGCTGCATTACGAAGAAACCCTTGTGGCATTTTCTAAGGAACTCAGTCCTGTGATAAAGGCATTACTCTATGAACCCCTCCATGAGTAGAATCTTCATGGCCTAAACACCCCCAAATGATCCCACCACGTAATATGGCTATAATAATGATGAAGCTTCCAGCACATAATTTTTGATGGTTGTACTCAAACCATAGCATATATATTCTTATTTAGAAATTGGGGGAGGGAAGTTCATGGACTTTGGAATCCTACAAATGGAACTTCTTTCAAAAACTACAGATAGCCAGGCATGGTGCCACATGCCTATAATTCCAGCCCTTGGAAGGGAGGCAGGAGGATCACCTCCTCAAGTGTGAGGCCAGCTTGGGCTACACAGTGAGTTCAAGTCCAGCCTGAACTACAGAACAAGATCTTGTCTCAAAAAAAATACTGCCCAGTGTCAAGGTACACACCTGTAATCCCAGTGCTCGGAGGCTGAGGCAAGAGAATTGCCACAAGTTCAAGGCCAGCATGCACTTCAGGGCAAGACCCTGTCTCAAAAAAACAAAAACAAAGAGAAACCCTCCTGATATGGAAAAATATAACTCCCAACCTGTTAAGAGTTTTATTGGAAGCAGGATCTCCAGGGGGTTTCCTGAGTGGGTGGCCACCAAGGACTCCTTGTCAGGGGTAATTTACACAGCAAAATCACATGGGTAGAACATTGGTCAAACTATAATGAACCTATAGTTTTCCAAGTATAGTTTCACAGCTAATACTGATCCAGTAGGGAAACAAGTCACATAGCAAGAGTATATGGAAAGAACAAAGGCACTTTGGGGAGAGGAAAGGAGTATGGGTGCAGATGTTCTGGTCACTCACCTATGTATCTGATGCCTAACTGGGCCCATTGGGCCAAGTGGTGTTAACTGCAATATAATCTCAAATTGCTATTTCTCTAGGGAGGCATGCAGGCCTGGCTATCTCTAGATTTGCCTCTACCTTCAATCCTGATGTCTTGTCTCCTTCCCTTCCCTTCCCTTCCCTTCCCTTCCCTTCCCT